CACAGCATACATATATTGATGTTGTATGATTCTTGACTACAAGACACAATAACCCAACAACAAAAATGCAAAAAAAGTTATAGGAAATAACATAACGAGTTTGTGGTTGCCATATATCCTAAACAAATTAGGATATCTGCTCATGAATTCAGTTTAACACCTCAACTCTTGAATTGTCAACCCAACTTTTACTATTTTTTTTTCATATCACATTGCTATCCAACCCTTCTTTGGACCTGCCATCCACCATTGGAGCTACCATTGTCACAGCCACTATCACCTCCCCTCCACCCAATATTGTCCCTACACTCCCCATAATGTAGCCCTGTTTGCGTCTTGCATCTCAATCCAAATCCATATGCACAACAAACCTCACTCTAGTTTCGTGGAACCTTTATCAGCCTTCCTTGACATCGCCCAAATGTCATCCCACATTCACCAACTGTTGGAATAGGCCCAACATCCAATTTAGGCCCTACATAATGGGCTTAAGCTAGCACCCATTAGCCCAAAGTGAGGGAGCACCAGTATAAACATACTCACATGAACAACGCCACGTGGACCAATGAAATGCTTTCATGTACAGATGCATGTCAGCACTTTGGGCTATAAATACCCCTTAACTACCTCCGAGGAAGGTAATTAATCTCTACGCTTCTTTCTCTGCAATTACTCCTTGAGAGCATCTCTCTCTAGAATATTGAGTATTGCTGACTTGAGCGTTAGAGTGTTTTCCCTGAGGAAACATCCTCGGGATTTTCAAGTGTAGAAGCAGCTAAGGACTTCAACAGTGTTGGACTACGAATCTGCCCAAACATTTGGCACCGTTTGTGGGAAACCGAGCAAGAAGCTGTGTAGTTTAACCGGCAGAAAGACAAAATGGTTTGAACCTTTATTGGAAGCCGCCCCTCGAGAAATGAAATGGATGAACAGGAGGACATTCAGCTATCTGAGCTTGGCCTTAATGATTTTAGACCAATGTCGAGGAACCTTTTTGTTGGGGGAGCAGAATAGGATCAATTAAGTGGAATAGATGATGATGAAAGAACACCAACTGGGTATGCAACTCAGCGCGAACATTTCCAAATTCCAACAAGAACAAGGCAAAGACAACCCAGGCAAAAATAATCTACAACGGGAACGACCTAAAAGGTCAACAGAACCTGCTCGAACAACTGAGCTCGAAGAGAGAACCAGAGTTCTCGAAATGGCAATGGGCAAAATATTAGCCCGTCTGATTCCTGATGACCCCCTGATATCTTTATTGAATAGGGATGCACAGCCAGCTGCGGTTGTTGCAACTAGAAACTCCCTCGCGTTGAGCAACATAGTAGTGCCAACCAAACCAAAGGGAAGTGGGAAGCTAAATAACGAGCCCAGCTCGTCCAAACATAGCAAAAAACTGATGAGAAAGAACGCAGACCTTGAAAGACAGCTGTAGGATGTACAAAAATCCATTGACGAGCTGAAAAGTCCCAGGTCACACCAACGGACCCTTCATTTGGATAGTGCTCCACTAAACCTATCCATCACAATAGAACCGTATCAAGAGGGATTCAAAATTCCCCATCTGGAGACGTATGATGGCTCGGGCGACCCATATGAGCATCTGCACACCTATCAAGCCATCATGAGAATAAAAAATGCCAATGATGCCATGATGTGTAAAGTGTTCCCAGCGACACTGAAGTCAACGGCCAGAAGATGGTATCATAAACTCCCCAGACACTCTATAGACTCATACTCCTAGCTCGCCAAGCTATTCTCCAACAAATTTGCGAGCCAAAGGAAGATTAAACGCACAGCGACCGAGCTGATGCAAGTTCATCAGAAAGAAGGGGAATCTTTGAGGGACTACATGCAGCGATTCAACAAAGCCACTTTAGACATTGATAACATCCCAGATACCATCTGCTTGTCTGCCTTGCTGCATGGTTTGAAGCGTGGT